ATGATTTTATTATATTCAACTTGTTTAGAATTTTCTAATTTTATTTCCTTTTATTAAAATACAATACCAATGATTGAAAGTAATTGCTGATTAAAGTTTTTCAAGTTTAACTCAAAAAAATGAAACTAGACGAATAAATTATGACAGATGAAGTTTATTCCGTACGTCCCCAAAACGGTTTTACATTTAATGTTTCACTTCATCACTGCAGCACTTTGACATGTAATAATTACTCCGGTATATTTTTGCATAAATAAATTGTAGAGAAATTTGATATATTAAAATTATATCTTAAAATTAACCAAATTATATTAAATAAACATTATAACTTTTTTTGACGGTAATAAACATTATAACTAAATAAACTTTTTTTTAGAAAAAACGGTACAAAGGTAAGAGAGATTTTGGGACTGAGGGAGTACTAAGTGATTGGTGGTTTAAATAATGAATTGAATGTCCAATACCTGTAAAATTTGATCGGATTTGTTTGGACATAACATCCGACTCGAAAATACTAAATTTGAACAAATATTTTATGTTGACTAGACCCAAAATGACCTGCTAATAATGGGTCAGTCAAACCCAATTGACACTTTATGGGAACTCGGGTCTAGAGTAGCCTAGACACAGAGCAAAGAGCAAGCTACAAAAATATATGGACTGAGAATATTCATATGATCATGTATTATTGCTAGATTGCTGGTTGAAGCTTGCCTCCCTCCATGGGTTGGGGGTAATATTTATACATTGGTTATATTTCTTACATAATTATCATATAGTTGTTGTATTGGGTAAGACCCATATGGATTTAGGATCATTAATACGAGAGTACAAGCCTACAAGGAGTATGTTGTCTGTACAGGTGCATGCATTATATTATACATGTACATACATTGTACATGTACAATATACATGTTCACATTGTTTTTCTACAAACGGGCCAGACGTATTGAACACTAGTGCCTACGAAGCTTATGCATTTCTTGAAATTCTCTAAGTCCCAAACCTTTCCTGTAGTCTGTAGCTGAGTAGAGGGTTCTTATAGAGGCTAACCTTGAGTTATATGCTAAACGTGTCGTCCCTCTAGATGAGTCTCGAGGGTGGGTATCATGCATACCAGACTAAGGCCGAGTGTGGAGGTTTGGTTGCTGGGGTCGAGGGATTATAGCACAGACTGCTGAAGCCGATAGTTGATGATGGGCGCTATCACTTAGATATGATATCGCGTCTTGGGCCTCTTAGTTGGGCTTTGAGTTCTAACTGAGCCAGATACCCACTGTCCAGGGAATCTTGATAGTCGATTTATACTCTAACATGGGGTGAATTAGAGAACTTGAAAACTTTTGACAAGATGAAAAATAAGAGCAAAAACCAAAGCAGCAAAAAAAGATAATGAACAAGAAAGAAAATGAAACAAGTATTTTATACTAGTTAGAATACCTTGCTCATGTACATTATGACTCCTTCTTAAGAATTTTAACCTCCACTGACTTATTTAGCTTCACCAAAAAGGTCCAAACGAGATTTGGCAAACATCCCTTAGAAATAGATATAGAGATTTTACACGGCTATCTCTACCGCTTAAAATGAAAATTTTAAGTCTATCTTCAACCTAACAAAAATAGGATTTAAAGGCTATCTAAACCTTTATAGAAAATTGAAAATAATTTTCTTATCTACTAAAGAAATAAAAATCAGAATTAGGAAGAACAAAATGAATCAAGAATAAGAAGCCAATGAGCAATATAGTAAATGATGAAATCACAAATCTCTTATTTCATGTGAGTGAAAACTTTTGAAAAGATCAAAACCAGCTACATAAAGAAAATATAATAAATATTAAAAAAATAGTAGCTTGAAACACTCGAAAATGGCTAGAAGGTTGTTGATGATTGAAAGCAATGTTCTTGGCATCAAAATGGAGCTTAGAAGGAGTTTATATAGCTTATGAATTAATACAAATAGGTAAGTGTACGTTTAGAGACGTTGTAGAGTGATTTAAGGTTGATTAGATCTAAAAAAGAAATTTGAAAAACTCTAGAATGGTCATGGTACCAGTTTTAGTACATGGTATCGTCACGGGAGGGGGTACCGGTCTTGCGGTAGGCGGGTACTGTATCAAGCTGAATGTTTCTGGCATTTTCTGTTTCTAGCGATACCACCCTACCGCCTATCTGGTAACCCTGGACCATTAGAATAGTTCCTAGGTACCATCTGACTTTACAAGTTTTAAGAAAAACTTCATCTTTTGATGTGGTTTTCAAAACATCCGCCTCAAATACTCCCTCCGTCCCAAAAAGTTTGTTACGTTTAGAAAAAACTGTGTCCTGTAAAGTCCTTTCCATTTCTATTAAAAAACCACTTTTACCCCTTACTTTTTCATACCCTACCTATCACATCATACCTTTTTCCTAATAATCTACCCATCACATTCTTATTTTTACCCATCACATCAAGGGTATTTTTAGAAAGTCAATATCAAAATATCACTCCCTTAATTTCGCAAAAAGTCAAACCGTCCCATTCTTTTTGGAACGGAGGGAGTATTATTTAAAAGGTTTAGTAAAACATTTAGGTGCAAGTGCCAGTGTAATTACATCATTCTAACCATACCCTTAAGATTGCATCTATCTACGCTCGTCTAGAAACCTTTATGGTAAGTCAAAACAAGTTTGGTGAGGTTTGAACATTTGATTCGACCTGTAAAAGCATTAGTAACTTAGAAGTCTTATATAGAACATCAAAATTATAGGATTCGGCATTCAAAGCCAACATGTATATCAGGAGTCTCCCACTTCTCATGTCAAGTACTTATAGCGAGGTCGTGTCAAAGTAGCCATTCTGTGGATGGGGAGACCTCTCATGTATTTGCCAAGTTGAATTTCTTTCTAAGTTAGAAAATAAATTTTTTTCCCGAGTATGATTATCATGAGTACACCACTTCTCAAAGTGCAAAAGAGGATAGCATGTGAGAAGTGTATTCCTAAGTCTAGAATGCGAAATGTCACTTGTTGAATTTTGAAATGCTATCATTGTCTTGGGTGTCTTAATGTTATCTTGGTCTAGTCATCTTTTTCTTAGTTGGGTTCAGAGCTTCTTCTACAAAGGTTCCCATATTGCTGCAATTCCCCTCACCGGGTTACTGTTGGATACATGAGCCCAAAACTCTTCCTTGGTACATATACTTTTTTTTGACAAGTTTTGATAAATGACAAACAATATCAAAGTGATCAGAATCAAGAGGCAAATTAAATTACTTGATAAGAATGTCAAGACCGAGAATTCAAGATCGAAGATTCGAAGACATAGGTCATTAGGTAAAATTTGTTGTGAGGGCAACATATTTTCTTTTCGAAGCTCAAACATTTTTAAATCTTTTTTAAGTTATTTTGTATAATTAAAGAAATGTTTTTATAAGTCTTTTTGCATTGAGGAACAACTCGCTCGAAGAGGTATTTTTTGCCTACACCATCGCTAGTGAGTTTTTCACCATGGATGGTGATCTGACCGTTGAGCTGCAACAATCAGATTTTTGTCACCATCGATGGTGACATTTTTACCATCGATGGCCTGGGCAGTTTTCCCGTGAATCATATTGTTTTTGCACTGATTTTGCTAGTTTTTTTTATCTCCAACGGTCTTAAGCTTTTTCAACTATAAATTGAGGTGTTTTAACTTCATTTTAACATAAGAATTCATCTCCAAAGTTTAGAGTTTAATTATATTATCATTTATACTTTAATGGATAATATGTTGGTTGGTCTCAAGCATATCCTATGCCAGGACCATATTACTTTGCCCCTTATCCTTATTACTTTCAATCTTTATCAAAGCGGGGGTAATGGGTCCTATGAAGGAGCATACATCGGGGGAGGAGTACTTGGAGATTTTCACCGACAAAGGTGAGGAGCTATTGGTATTGGGCACTGCCTAATCGGAGGTCAAGGAAGAGAGTCTTATTCCACTTGAGGCGATGTCGGAGGGGACTATCTTGGGCGAGACAATGGAGAAGCTACTTCGGAATGAGCTCGATCTATACTTCAATAGGCCCCTCCCGAGCTATGCATGATGATCAAGAGAGGCTTGTGCATAGAGTCTTCATTGCATGCCCTTGATAGGCTAGAGCTTTTTTATGCTCTAACGAAACACTTGGTTTGCACTTTCATATCCCCTTCTCTTTTTACAAGCCTAGTGATGATTACTTAGATATGCATCATGTTGGCTAGGCTTTTTATTTGTGTCGGGAGAACACTTTTTCCCTCTTTGCTTAACAAATTGGGAGATGATTCACACTCTGATCATTGAACAATCTCACACTCTCCCGAACACTACCCCGTTTCACACCAGTTTTTCAAAATTATAGGGGGTGTTTCTTAGAAATCATTTGAAGTTATTTTTGCTTTCTTGCAACTTCAAACGCTTCAAAGGTGTCTTTCTAGGAATGCACCTTAAGGAATTTTTATGGAAAAATAAAATCATCAAGCTAATGACAATAAAGAAGCGCTTCTTCGGTGGCAACCCAAGCTTTATTTAATTGATTTCTTTTACTTTCTTGAATAGGTGTGATTCCTAACTTTAAACTTTGAGTTTCCTTTGGACTTTCTTGTTGGACCTAGGTGAGATTTTAATAAAGAGGAGTTGGGAGAAAGTTGATCATAAGGGTCATCTTTGAAGATCATTTTGGCTTTATGAGGGCTAAGGGGTTGGATGGTTGAGGATGGACAACATTCTAGATTCTCATGAACCATGTCAGCATGTGTGTGGATGAGAAATTGATTATGTGCTTGTGAGAATGAAGTTAGGATGCGCATCATCTCATAGTTTGTAACGCCCCAAAATAGACTCTAAAATTATTGTTAATAATTATTCAATTAATCAAATTTATTGCATGGAATGGATTTTGCTTCCTACTAATTTTTTTAAACCAGCAGTATAGTGGAGCAATTTCGTCTAGATTTAAAATAAAAACATTTTTGTCTTAAAAAAGCACCATGCTTAATCGCTCTCTCCAGGTTCCCACATTCCATTTCTCATCTCCCTTCAGACGTAGACGTAGAGGTTCAGTTTCGAAAACGCTGTAAAACCCTAGCGAATAGCAATACACTTCACCGCATAGTGTCAAAGACTCGAACAACACTGAAAATGGAGTGGAACCCTGAATCCGCACAAATCCTCTCCCAATGCTTCCTCAACACGCTCTCTCCGATGCCAGAACCTCGCCGCAAGGCGGAGGCGTGGCTGGCGGATGCTTCTGAGAAGCTTAACTACGGCCTAGTCGTCCTCCGCTTAGTGGCCGAGCCTTCTATTGATGAGCAGATCCGACAAGCTGCTGCCGTCAATTTTAAGAACCACCTCAAGGCTAGATGGTCGCCGGCTCCTTCTTCTGGTCCTAACATTCAGGTTCCAGCTCCTATTTCCGACCCCGAGAAGGAGCAGATCAAAGGTTTGATTGTCTCGCTGATGCTTAATGCATCTCCCAGAATACAGTCTCAGCTTAGTGAAGCTTTGACTGTGATAGGGAAGCACGATTTCCCTAAAGCTTGGCCCAGTTTGCTGCCTGAGCTTGTTCAGAGCCTTGATAAATCGAGTCAGGTAAACGATTATGCATCTGTTAATGGGGTGCTTACCACTCTAAACTCGTTGTTTAATAAATTCCGCTATCAGTTCAAAACCAATGAGTTGCTCCTTGATCTCAAGTATTGCCTCGATAATTTTGCAAGACCATTGTTAGAAGTTTTTAAGCGTACTGCAAATTTGATAGACCAAGTGGTCGCTTCTGGCTCAACAATTCCATCAACCCTGAAGCCATACATAGAGTCTCAAAGGCTGTGCTGTGTAATATTCTATTCTTTGAATTTTCAAGAATTACCTGAATTCTTTGAGGACCATATGAATGAATGGATGGCTGAGTATAAGAAATATCTTACTGTGAATTATCCCGTTCTTGAGGATAGTAGCAGTGATGGGCTTGCAGTTGTTGATGGTCTACGATCTGCAGTCTGTGAAAACATCAGCCTTTATATGGAGAAGGAGGAGGAATTGTTTCAAGGCTATTTGAGTGGATTTGTGGAGGCGGTGTGGGGTCTTCTTGTGGTTTCATCAGCCTCCTCCGCCCGGGAACAGTTGACTGTCACTGCAATTAAGTTTTTGACAATTGTTAGCACTAGTGTGCATCACACACTGTTTGCAAGAGATGACATTCTTGAGCAGATTGTTCAAAGTATTGTCATACCTAATGTAATGTTAAGGGATGAAGATGAAGAATTGTTTGAAATGAACTATGTTGAGTTCATAAGGAGGGATATGGAAGGAAGTGATCTTGACACTAGGAGGAGGATTGCATGTGAACTACTCAAGGGTGTCGCAACTCATTACAAGGAAAAAGTTGCTGAGAAGGTATCCCTTCAGATAAATAATTGTTTAGCCATGTTTTCTCAGAATCCAGCTGTAAATTGGAAATTTAAAGACTGTGCTATCTATTTAGTTGTCTCCCTGGCCACTAAAAAGGCAGGTGGTACTTCAGTGTCAACTGACCTGGTGGATGTGGAGAGCTACTTTGGAACTGTAATTGTTCCAGAGCTCCAAAGTCAGGATGTGAATGCTTTTCCAATGTTGAAGGCAGGTGCATTGAAGTTCTTTACGATGTTTAGAAATCTGATACCAAAGCAAATTGCACTGGCATTGCTTCCGGATGTCATTCGTTTCCTTGGTGCAGACTCCAATGTGGTCCATTCTTATAGTGCAAGCTGTATAGAGAAGTTGTTGCTGATAAAAGAAGATGGTGCAAGAGCAAGGTATACAGCATCTGATATTAGTCCGTTTTTGCTAGTCTTGATGACAAATCTTTTTAATGCCTTGAAGAAGCCAGAATCTGATGAGAATCAATACATAATGAAGTGTATCATGCGTGTGCTTGGCGTTGCTGAGATTTCTCGTGAAGTTGCTTTACCCTGCATAACTAGTCTCACCCAAGTCTTGAATGTAGTATGTCAAAATCCAAAAAATCCTGCTTTCAATCATTACCTGTTTGAATCCGTTGCTGTTCTGATCAGAAGGGCATGTGAGAGGGATTCTTCCCTCATATCTGCTGTAGAAGAAAGCTTGTTCCCTAGCCTAGAGATGATCTTGGCAAAAGATGTGAGCGAGTTCTTCCCTTATGCATTCCAGCTTCTTGCTCAGCTTGTTGAGTTGAATAGACCTCCTATCCCAAAACACTACATGCAGATATTTGATATTCTTCTCTTACCCGATTCCTGGAAAAAGTCTGCAAATGTTCCTGCTCTGGTCCGATTGCTCCAGGCATTTCTTCGGAAAGCACCTAGCGAGCTTAATCAAAATGGCAGGCTGTCAAATGTCCTTGGCATATTTAACACACTGATTGTTTCACCTAGCACAGATGAACAGGGGTTCTATGTGCTGAATACAGTCATTGAAAATCTTGGTTTTGATGTTGTCTCGCCATATGTACGCCATATCTGGGCTGCATTATTCAAGCGGCTGCAGGAAAGACGAACATTGAAGTTTGTGAAGAATCTTGTGATATTTATGTCTCTATTTCTTGTTAAACATGGCTCTCAAAATCTTGCAGCTTCGATTGATGCTGTTCAGGAAAATTTATTTCGTACTGTTTTGGAACAGTTTTGGGTTCCCACCCTCAAGTCAATCACAGGGTCTGTTGAGCTCAAATTAACGGCGGTTGCTTCGGCTAAACTTCTCTGTGAATCCCCATCATATTTGGATTCTGGGCTTTGGGGAAAGATGCTTGATAGTGTTGTCACTCTTCTCTCTAAACCGGAAGATGAGAGAGTAGAGGGTGAGCAAGAAGTTCCAGACTTTGGTGGGGAGACTGGATATACTGCTACTTTTGTTCATCTATACAATACTGGTAAGAGAGAAGAGGACCCACTGTTAGATATACGGGACCCAAAGCTATTCTTTGTCACATCTTTAGCTAATCTCTCGGCTCGATCCCCTGGCCAATACACCCAGGCTATAAGGGAAAATCTCCTCCCAGCAAATCAGCAAGCATTACTTCAGCTCTGCAGCGCTTATAATATAGCAATAGTTTGAGGACAAAGGCATTCCATGGTACACTCTTCCTTTGATTATGTGTTCTCTGTGAAATTACCTTGTTTTACTTATCCAATTACTGTTTCAGTTAATGTACTATTACTATATGATGATTAAGTTCTGATAACTACTGCTATGTCAGCATTTGTGATTTTTCTTGCTTGCTTAGTCATGCATTCTTTTCTTTTTTTCGTGCTAAAGCCATCGTTAATACGTTGAATTATTATACTCCAGTATAAAGCATTCACTTTACAACACATTCACACACACATCACCTTCCTCCTATCTTCCTAGCACCTTCCTAAGTTGGCTATTACACCATTATATGTGTTCTTCTCACTAGTAAAAAGTAATGTCATATATCCTAAGTGGTTCAATGTTATTACTATTATCTTCAAGTAGTAGTTGCTCCTATATTGTTTTTGATATCTAACAGATGGCAGCATTTTGACGCCACCCGCTGCCCTTCTAAATCATACTACCTCCATCCCAAAAAACTTTTCCAGTTTTGAACAAGAAAAACCCATCTATTTTAAAATGATTTTATTTACAAATTGGTATAGAAATAAAAAGTACAAATTACATATTTATAAACTAAATAAAAAATTCTACAACACATGTGGTGACAAGAATATTTTATTTCATCAAATGACCAATGAAAAAAAACACACAAATTAAAGTCATCGGAAGCTTGGGATAGTAAACAGGAAAAGTTTTTTGGGAAGGAGGGAGTAATATTTCCTCATGGTGTCAAAGCCTATTTATTTCTGGCGTGAGTAGCCTCTTTCCAGCATGAATACTATTCTGGCATAAATTGTACACTTTGCGACAAGGGTATCCCAAGTCAAAACCCATCACCAGACCCATCACCTCAGCACTTCTGTTCATTGTAAAACCCTCCACCGGAGTTGTTTGGCTGCGCCTCCATCCAATTTTTTCTAGACGGGGCAGGTCGTTTTTTCTCAAATCAACATGAATCCAGTTATCTACCGATGACACCACAAACACAGTTGCACTAGTTGTCTCTGTGAGTCTCACTGGCTTCCTGACCTCAAATACTCCAACCCCATAATTGATTAGGCTCTTGGAAGTACGTGCAATACCTTGTGTCTTTTGAAATTATTTATTTAAATAAAAATACAAGTTACATACTAAAACTATGTCAAAATTTCTACTAAACAAGAGGTGACAAGAATATTTTATTATATCAAATAATCAATGAAAACACACAAGTAAACAAAAGTTATCAGGAGGCCAAAATAGTAACAAGGTAATCTATTTTGCGACGGAGGGAACATGTATTAACAAAACCAGTCAATACATGTGCTTGTTATGTTATTTCATAAATGTAAAAAAATTTGGAGCAAGGTTTGTTATAGCTCAGAGATAGATTGGGCAGTTGACTCATATCATTTTGATCTCCAAATATATTGTCTGGACAATTAATTTCATGCCTCTCTAGACACAAAGACGTATAATGGAACTCAGATGGAGGGACTAGGGAATACTTGTTACCAACAGAAAAAAGAAGGAACACAACGATAGCCAAGTAAATTACGGAGTAAAAAACAACACTCACAGGTGTAAAACAATATCTGAATGAACATAAAATAGGAGATTCCCTCTCCTTCTCTCTCCTTCCTCTCTATGTTTCCAATCACGTTCTCCTTGGTCCAGTGCTCTAGTTAGTACTCGTTATAAAAACTACAAACAAGTGTAAAAGAAAGATCTAAACAAAAATGAAATAGAAGATTCTCCTCCTCTCTCCTTCCCCACTCTGTCTCCACACACGTTCACTCTGACCCGTTTCTCTCTCTAGCTCTCTTCATAAAACGTACACACCCAAACATCTTAAGAAATATGAAATAAGAGATTTCATTTTCCTTTCTTTGCTTGCCCACTGTTTGCGTTACACACACACACGTGCACACCTATTGATGGGTTTAGTTGCAAATGTGTTCTGTTCAAAGAGGCAAAATGCTCTGCCAGTTACAGAGTAGTCTCATCTGTTTTTTCCAAATGGTGCACATTCTGTAGTGAAATTTTAAGTCATTGTGCTTTCTTTTTTATGCCTAACTATCCACAAGTTCTACTTTCAGGGAATTGGTGCCATACTTCTAGATGGTCTTGATGTTCCAAAGTTACTTTAGCTGAATGGTCGTGAATCTTGATATTCTGTTTCTGGCCTACATTCTTGGTGGAAGGAGCTTGGTACCCACAATTGTGGCTTGGATTTGGGACAAGGTTGTTTGGTTGTTGGTTCTTGAGACAGGCGTACGTGCTTTTGCGTAGCACATTTTCTTTTGTATGCCCTATCTTTTGTTTTCTCTTTGATGAATTCAATGAGACGAGTCTATTATACATGATAGTTTTCTTTTAATCCTGCAGATTCATTCCTTGTCCCTTAAGCCTAGTTTGTTTTGTGGTTTATCATGGTTAATCTGTAGTGTATAAGATGGATAACCATGTTTGTTTCTATTTTCAATTCTTAGTATGGTTATTGATGGTAATCCATACCTTCAAAAATCATATTTTTTTCAGAAGAGTTTTCAAACACCACAACTCGTTAGCCTTTTATGTTTTATACGGAGTATATAATTAGATTTTAGATCTCAATTATATTTAATATTCATATATTTCTCTTGTGCCTCGTACTACCTTAAGATAAATCTACTGTCTACCTACCGTTTCCTACGCACTTCATAGTGTTATTGTTAAACTCAGGGGCCACGGCGATGCAAAAGATCCTTCCTACACTTTTGATGTTGTTTTAGCTGTTTTACTACGGAACTATGTTCAATGAGTAATACTGAGTTATTTTTATTGCACTTAACAGAATTATTACATCAAAAAGTTTTACAAAATATGAGGTCATATGAACATTCTATTTTATGAAAACACACAAATAAACAAAAGTTATAAATTTCATTTCTTTTCATTTTAGGAGGGAGGAAGTTTCTTTTTTCTTTTCATTTCTCGATTCATTTTTTTGGGCAAGGGTAGGCAAAAATATCGGCCGATATGGTTCCGATCCGAAAAGCGAGTTTTAGGGTGATGCAATAGTTAAGTGAATGGGCTGCCAAACCGGTTCGATGGAGCGGCCTTGAATATTTTTGCCTAGGGCAATATATATATATATATATATATATATATATATATATATATATATATATATATATATATATATATATATACTAGTATATATTAACATTTTAGCTGTTCGTTGGAGAAGCCTTGATCATTTTTATATTAACATATACTCCGTAACACATTTTTTTGTTTAATTGATGAAATTTTTTCAATGGAATTGTAAAAAGTTATTTTGAACAAAAACATTATAACAAAAATTATACGGAGTATTTCGTATTTAGGGGAAGAGTACCAAGTCCAAACTCTAGTTATTAAAATTAATTAAAGACAATGAGATCGCTAACGATCAATGAATAAAGAAATAATTACTCCCTTCATCTCAAAAATATTCTAGCCTCTTGATAACTTTTGTTTATTAAAATGTGTTTATTGATTATTTAAAATAAGATAAAATATTCTTATCACATCTTGTTTTATAGATCTTTTGATGTTGTTTTGAAAAACATAATATCTACTTTTTATTTCTATACTAATTTGTAAATTAAATAATTTTAAAAGATATGAAATTTTGTACATTATTCGAAGTGAGATGATATTTTTGGGACGGAGGAAGTAATCAAATGTGAATCTATTGAGCTTATCACGTAAGAGTGTTGCTTTGGTGCACCTTGGGTGCATATCATTTTTATGGACCTTCTCACATAATTTTTTTTACTTTTTTATTTAAAAAAAAATAAATGCTTATTTAAGTAGTAAAAAATGCTAGTTTTGCTCATATGTAGGTTCATGGTGGACCTTAGGTCTAGGGGTGAGCATGGTACGGTATGGTACGGTATTTAGCTCGTACCGATACCGTACCAAATATTTCGGTTCGGTATGGGATTTTACTCCGCACCGATCCCGATCCCGAAATATCGGTTCGGTATGGTTCGAGATGGTTCGGTATCGGTTTTGGTATAAATCGGGATGAATATACATACCTACTTTACACATTAAAATTTAACAACGCCCCTTTATTTTTGAAAATTAAAATTGAATTTAAATAAAAAAACATGAAAAATTAAAAAAAATGAATATTTAAATGCAAGAGATGCGTATCAAAACTTAGTTTATATTTTACAAACTAAAAAAATGAACGACAACAAAGGAGTATTTCGAATCTTTGTGAATACTTTTATGTTCATACACAAAAACTAAAACTTAAATAAAAGTATAATTTACACATAATAGAACTTGAACCGATTTTTTTTAAAAAAATTATTATTTAGTGAAGAAATATAAAAATATTACTCCGGGGTATTATTTTTTAGAGTAAATTCCATAATCGATCCTTTATAACATGGGGGTTTCCATATTTAGTCCTTTATTATCAAATATTACCTCCGTAGTCCTTTTTTAAGGGTATCTTTCCACAAATGGTCCTTTTTTTGATCTTCTGCCGTGTTGGTGTTAATTTAAAGGCTAAAAGTATAATTTGACATTAATATTATGTTTAGTGACGTGTTCTGATATTGGTTAAGCGGATAACACAAAAATAATGACTATGATTGTGGGCTAGGATTCTGACAAAAGATCACATTTGTAGTCTATTGTTGTCGTAAAAAGCGACTTTAATTTACAAACGACACAAACGGAACAGCCTTTGGAATTGTGTATGACAAAAAAGATATATTATCATTGTGAAATTACACTTTTAGCCCTCAAATTAACACCATATTGATAGAAGATCAAAAAAAGACTATTTGTGGAAAGGTACCCATAAAAGAAGGACCATTGAGATAATATTTGATAATAGAGGACTAAATAGGGAAACCCCTTTGTTATAAAGAACCAATTATAGAATTTACTCTATTTTTTATAATATTTTAGTATATATGTTCGGTTCGGGATTTTCGGTATGGGACGTCACCTCGTACCGTTCCCAAATACCGTACCGACCATTCGGTTCGGTGCGGTTTGGTTCCTTCTCGATACTTTTTCGGTTCGGTATTTTCGGTTTGGTATTCTCGGTTTTTTCGGGAAATTTCGGTATCGGTTCGGTACTTGCTCAGCCCTACTAATTAGGTCCACCATAGAATTTGTTATTACGTAATAACTAATAAGTTGCACTGAAAATATGGCTTCGTAATGCTCTCTTTGTCCATCATAGATTTTCTCAGATACTATTCACAGTGTCAAGTTTAACTCACTTTATCTACTACGCATTTTATAAAATAATATAATCTTGTCACCTCTTGGCCTGTAGAACTTTTCATGTACTTATTTACTATATAAATTTTATTTTTTAAATTTTACCCCTACAATTAAATAAATTGAATTGAAAATAAAGTCGGTTAAACCTCGTAATGCGACATGAGAAGATCTTTAGTGGAAAGGGGGTATCAATTATAGAACAATATAAAGAAATCACTCCAAGTAGGAGTAAAACATAACTCTTATCTCTAATATAAGAGTTTCATTTTTTATATCTCAAAATAGGAGTTTGTAATATGACATTGTGGCACCGTACATTGTCATTTCACAATGTTTTTTAGTATTTTATGTTGACATTAATGACATTGTAACTTCTATTTTAGGGATAAAAAACATATAAATTATATTTTTATATTTTCTCCATGTTTTACTTCTATTTTGATTTTTTTCCTAGTGATCTAAATATAATTTACTTTGATAGGGTGGGGGCTTGTCACATTTTTTAACAATCTAAATTTGGGGGCAATTCTCTGTGCCGATGTTTATTGGCTTAATACCGATAAATAGTTCTTAGCTTAAATAGGCACTCCTTTTGTCCCATTCAAAGATTAAAGGTTTAACATTTACTTTTTCATCCGTCCAAAAAAATTACACTTTCCTTAGAATTCGTGGTCATTATACTTTTTCTCTCCTCTACATCACTTTCAACCGCACAATTTAGGTTTTTTAAACTTCGTACTAATCTACTAAAAACACTTTTTTAAATGTTTTTTAAAAGTCATTTGAAAATATTTATAAAAGATAAGAAATATGCTTATAAATAATCGACTCAAAACCAAAAAGCTTGCTTTAAAATAAGTATGTAAGACATGCTTGTTTTTTATGCATAATTAGCTTATAAGCACAAAAAATGTGTTATCAGTTAACTTTTAAGTTAAAAACAGTTTATAAAGCTATCTCTGGAGCAGATTTAATGACTTTTGTAGAAGCACATGAGCAAAGATTGGAAAGGAATCATGGGGATAGTTTGAGAAATGCCTCTCAATCTAAAATTAATTTGCCGCCTAAAAAATCTTAACATGGAAAAGAGAATGAAGGTCAAAATTTTGATAATTAAACAATTTGATAATGAAGGTAAAAAATTTCAATCTGTCGGCATAAAGGAAAGCAAAAATGTCATAATGGCAAAAGATTTGATAAGAGATTTGTAGGTTAAGAAAAAATTGTCAAGGTAATTTTAGTGTAGAAAAAGGAGGTGAAAAGTGTTGGCTTCATGTCTCCTAATAAAGATTTTTTTTAAAGGCATATGGTGTGCACCTAGTTGTTGCATTAATCATACAAAAGTGCGGATTGGAAATGGAGAATTTGTGGAAGTACTGGGGAAAGAAACCAATAGCCATAGCCATCAAGAAAACAAATTCAGGGATTTATATCTCATTAAAAAAAAAAAGTAAATACTTGAACTACTTAAGAAGTTCAACTTTATTCAATCTTCTACTTTCACTATTCAACTAGTTTTTCATTAGCTTCTATTAACCACTTCTAAAATACATTATAGAATCAAACATAAAAATATACAGATCGCAAATAAATGACTTTTTTGATCGAAACATATATTGTTAACATTACCCAGCTTTAAAAAAATGGATAATATTTATTAGATAATCAAAAGTGCTAGAGTCTCTCAGAAAACACTGTCTACCCAGCACTAACAAATACAATGGCCACAAAGAATGGTACTGCAACACAAATATCTACAGACTACAGAGAAGCTCAAAACAACAATAGCAACAAGAACAACGATGCAACGCCGTGTATAAGTACCGAAATCCCCGGAAACAACTCGGGCGAGGAGGAGTTTTGTATCTGTATGGTAAAGTTACAGTTTGCTTGAGATATGTTCTGGTCAGTCACCTCAGCCAGACCTTGAAAGTTGCAGCTAAACTCATCTTGGTTCTGTGCCTGGAAGTACATGTTAAACGCATATGATGCATTACCTTTCGTGTCCAAACCATTGCAAGAAGAGCCGTATCCAAGTGCCGTGCAATCTGAAAATGTGCAAGCATAGTTGACATTCTCAGCAGTTAGGTTGCTCGAAACATCGGCATCTGACTTCAACCTGCACCACTTCGTGTCAAGGTATTTCACATCTTTTGCACCAATGAGAAGTTTGTCTTGCCCCTTGCCTAAAAACCCCATCCCAAACTTGGGCTGGCCATCGTACCGGAAGATCCCCCAGTGCCTCTCAAAGTTACCCGGAGCTATACTCTTGGCGTCCTCATCAATAAGTCCAAACAGGTATACCTCCATGTCTCCAGGCCGAAGGGGTGTCCCTTTGTTGGGTGCATTAGGTTCCAGTCTTTGTAAAAGTCCATTGTAGAATCTGTAGGCTAAGTTCACATTAGCATTGATGTCACCTTCAGTTGGCCATCCAACTTCCCCTACCAAAATGGGCATGTTACCATACCCAGCAGCGTGTAGGGCTGAAACCAGGGTGTCAAAGTTGGCATCAAACACATTGGTGTATTGGATCCCATTATCAAGTACAGGAGTGGCTAGCCCATCGAAGAAAGCAAAGTCAAATGGGAAGTCGGGGTTTCCATAGAGACTCAAGAAGGGGTATATGTTCACTGTGAAGGGCGCGTTGTTCTGGTTGAGGAATTGAACAATTTGGGTCATCTGTTGATTGATATCTTTCCGGAACCTGCCAGCAGAAGGTACAGGGTTTTCGCTAGGAGAGTTGTACACATCAGCATTTAAGGGTACGGTCGCCTTAATGGTGTCCCCGTGACCGGCCTCATTCAGAGCATTCTGAATATTCTGAAGTGCTGGAAAGGTTGTGTTGATGAAGGAGTTGTTGTAGGACGTGAGGAAAGGCTCGTTACCAACTGCAACATATCTACAAGCAAGTTGATAGAAAACACAGTAAAGATTAGGACATTTCTACGCTTAGCTTCACAGACAATAAAGAAAAATGAAAACCATGGTTAGCAATCACTCATATTCATAAATATAGAGGAACAAAATTGTTGGAATAAATCTACTTTACCCCAAAGGTTTATACATAAATTTTGTGTCAATGTAAGTGCGAGATTGATGGCTTACATTGGCACAAAATGTGAGTGCGAAATTTTGCGAATGCACTGACATTTTGTGTCAATGTATGCCATCAAAATGTAAGTGTAAACCTTTGGGGTACGCCTAGCATGGTTGAAATCGTTGGGCTAATCTAGCCTTGTCTTGTGCAAACACCACTGTCCATGAGATATGGGAGTGGCAAATGCACTATTCACATACACCCTAGAACATAAAATCTTTCCATGGAAGCGTCAACAACGGATCGATTGCATTGCGTATTACAAAATCTTAGCACCTATAATAATAAAAAGAAAAACAGAAAAACAATAATCAACCTTTACCAACCACATCAAAGTGGTTGGGAATCACAGTCAGAAATCCAACAAACAAGATGGAAACCAAATCAAGATGCATTCTTACTTGATGGTGACGCCTCCTTTGAAGCTGTAACGGGTGACGTTGCGCTTCACCCATTTCTTGGCCCTATCATAATCATTCATGGAAAGGAGCTGGTCATTAGGTATGGCGACCATGACTTCAATGTCCTTCCCTGCAAGAGCGCTCATCGTCGATTCATCGGCGTCGAACAGCTTAACCTTCTTAATCCCATTGTCTATCAGCATCTGCACCACCGTCTTCGGCGGCAGCTTGTGGGTGGCCATAGTTCCCCAGTTCACACCCAGGCCCTCAACGCCACCGCCAGCAAAGAGAAATATTGATAATAAAACTAGAGGAATCCCAAATCTATCCATTTTCTTTTTTGAAAATCTTATGTAAGGGGGAGGGAAGCGCCGGGAATAAATCTTGGGTTGAATTAATGAATTTCTATACAGGGAAGCTGAATCTTGAATCCAAACTCAGTTGAAGAAGAGATCAGAAGAGAGAAAACCAAACCCACGAATCTACAGAGAAAACCACCTAGAAACCTCAACCACACAGAGAAGATGGGGTGTGAAACCGCTCGCTACTTCAAAGCAACTGCCAAAACGTGGGTTGGAGTGTACAAATCTATAATTAGATGTGATTTGTGGGCGAGCCATGCTAGGGTACACCAAAGGTTTGGTGTACCCCAATTGTACACCATATGCTTTTCTACCACACTTTTTTATTTTATTTTTATTTATTTAATTATTTTTTGAGTTTCTTGCCAATTATTGTGGACAAGGAGGGGGTGGGGGATATTTGGGGTACACCAAATGGTGTACCCCTAGCATTTTTCTTTGTGGGCACAGCGTCAGCGAGTACAAATGCTTTCCCTTTCAAAAAAAATGCTTTCAATTTTATGATCGAAAGTCATGCAAAAAAAGTGATAATTACTCCATCTTTCAAAAAAATTTTATTTAACTTCTTTAATCTAATTGTGCAAGACTCTGATTATAAATTATAAAAAATATACTTGGTTATGCTATAAATTTAGTAAAATTAAGTTTATTTTAAAATGTAATTTTGAAAGTATCAAACTTTTATAATATATAATCATTTAAACTATATTTAATTTGTTCAAAATTATTAAGGATAACTCATGATCACACCCTATTTTTGAATATTTGAATAGTTGCTGTATTCCTATCCCTTATATTTAGGATTTTTCCCGTGCATCTCCTTGTGTTACAGATTTGCTTATGTTCCTTGTAGCATCAATTGGCCATGTACTTGTATAAAGCTTCTCTTGTGTGATAATAGATACGGAGTATAACCAATTTCATCTATAGTTTACATGGTATCAGAGCTTTACCTTTAAACATATTATCCCCCAGCCACTAACAATGTCTCTTGATGTTTCCACCTTCGTGGACTCTAGTTCGTCCCCTTCGTCGGACCTTGTTTGCATGTCCGCATCCAAGCATTTTCCCATAGGATTGATCAATAAGAACTTCCTTGTTTGGCGTCGTCAGGTTCAAACCGCCCTTATTGGCTTGATTCTTCTTAGCTATGTTGATTGGTTTTGGCTTTTGCAACTCAAGGGTGGATGCTTCGCTCTTCATTTATGCTAAGGCCTAAGGGTGTTGTTCGCCTTTATTTTTCTAGTAGACATACCCTCATCATGCACACTGCCCCAATCTTGCGGGGGCGTGTTAAGGATGACTCATGATCACACCCTGTTTCGGAATATTTGAATAATTGTTGTATTCCTATCCCTTACATTTAGGATGTGTCCTGTGCATCACCTTGTGTTACAGATCACCTTCCCTTCCTTGTAGCATGGGTTGGCCGTGTATTTGTATGAAGCTTCTTGTGTGTGATAATAGAAACAATTAATTCCATCCATAGTTTAAAAAACTATGACACTGTTTGACCAAAAAAATCAAATTGTGGCAATCTTTTTAGTACGAAAAGAGTATAAGAGTACTCGAAATGGGGTTGAAGATATGGCTTCAAATTTTCTTTCAATCACATCAATTTTATTTCCTTTTTAATTTACACTACAGTTTTACTAGAAATACTTAGGCTTCAAACTGGACTGCAAACCTTAATTTTTAAAATTTTTTACATATATTCTTTAAATTAAATTTAATAAAATTTCATTAATAATAACATAAATAAAAATTATGATACTTTTTAAAAAAAACCTTCTATGAAGTTACATAAAAATTTAAATGAAACCTATAGTAGACACACATAGAAGGTATGGAAGGTTAAAGCTTTACCAAAGGTCTGTAATCTTATTTGACGTGTGGTTAATAATATTCTACCGTGCTTGAATAATCTAGTTAGGAAAAAGGTCCATGTAAATGATATTTGTCCTTTCTACCATGGTTTAGAGGAGACAGTGGTCCACCTCTTTGTGTCATGCCACTTTGCTCGTGAGGTTTGGGGTGCTTCCCTCCTCGGGTGGTTTTCCCTTGTAGCACAAATTTTCCCCGAATGGTTGGTGGCAATATTTAATCTTTTTAATGCTAACAATTTTGCTTTGATATACTATATTATTTGGTCACTGTGGTCAGCCCGCAATGCGAGAATTTGGAAAGGGGAGTCAATTTCGCCCCTCGGAGTCTGGAATCATGCATTAAGAGCTTTTGAGGAATCGAGATTTGTTGCAACACCTTCTGTTGAGTCTAGGGCACCGGGGAATGGGAGAAACCCTCCTCAACCTTCATTAAAGCTAATCTTGGTGCTTTGGTGGGGCCCATCGAGAATCATGTGGGCTTCGGCTTGGTTGCTCAGGACCACGATGGATGTTGTAGCTAAAAGTATTAAGTGTAGAGGAAGTTTTGCTCCTCGTGAAGTGGAGGCCATCATGGTGAAGGAGGCTCTCAATTGGATTAAAGCTAAAGGTTGGACTCGTGCCATAATTAAGTCAGATTGTAAGGAGGCCATTATTCTTACTTTGACTCTATTATCTATGATTTTAAAAGTCTCCGAATGATACGTGGTGGATATCTTAAATTTCAGTTTTTTCATCGCTCATTCTATGACGCAGCGCATGTTTTAGCGCGTGCTACTCATTCAATGTCGAGTGTAGGTGAATGAGTTGATTCACCCCACACTTTTAAACTTTCTTTAATTTAATGAAGTGAAATATTCCTTAAAAAAAGATTATCTCTGCATTCAAACGGCGTCGTCTTATCTCATCTTGCCGAACTGCTCCTTCCTCCGGTGAAACCCTAGAGGAAACAATAGCAGTGAATTCGAATACACACCACCTGAAACTCATGGCGATTGCTAGAACCGGTGTATTTGTCGATGATTATTTGGAATGTAAGAACAATTATGTGATAACGTCGATTGATATAAAATCTTCTCTTGAATATCTGATGTATTTGATTCTGGTGATATTGAGTTTCTCTGCAACAGATTCAAACACATTGCCCGCTGAGCTCCAGAGGCTTCTCAATACTATAAGAGAACTCGATGAACGTTCTCATGGTATGTCCTCTCTCTTTTTCCATGCTTGTGTACATGCTCTGCATTTTTAAAATAAATTTCTATTTTTTCTTACAAATTGAGCTTGAGGATCATACTGAGGTTAATTTTAGACATAATGATTATGTTTGCATTTAAATTGGTTAAATTTTTGTGTTGCGTCCCTTGAAAACAACCTTTCTACTTTTAATTAGGGGTATGGTTGGGCGTGCACATGCCCTCCCCAGTCCCTACTTTCGTAGGATTTTACTGTGTTGTTTTTAGTTTTTTGTTAGATTGGTTAACTCTAACAAGTGCATGAATCTTTGCATGGAATGGACATGAAGCCATGATAAATCACAGCAGGCAGCACACGAATTATTGCCTTGGATTAGCTTCTCAGGCTCACAGTTCAAGAAAAAGTAATTACGAAGATGATGAATCCTTTGAGAGGTTGAGAAAGGAAATTGAGGTTAACCAGAATAATGCATTAAGCCTCTGCACCGAGAAAGTTTTGCTTGCAAGACAAGCTCATGACCTTGTAATAGATTTATTGTTTTTTTTTCTCAGTAGATTTATTGTTTTTTTTTTCAAATCCCATTATTTTTTTCTGCACATATTCATTCAGGAAAAAGTTATTCAGCTTGTATTTTGCATATTTTGTCTCATAAATGGAAATGCAAAAGTTTAATACTCCCTTTGTCCTATGAAAAAGTCTCACATTTTCTTTTTCATGGATCACAAAATAAGGTTCCATTTTCCGTTTAAGGAAAGAATTATGTGGTGCATATTTTTCTTTATCCTCCACCAGGGAACTACATGACTGTGCCTTTCTTAATAATTGTGTCAATTCCATTGTGGAACCTTTTATAGGACAGAGGTAGTATGTAGAGCATGATTATCATGTTTACCTTCCAACTGTTTGACTTGCAGCTTCTTTTTATTGCATGTGAATTTTCTTTCAGATAGATAGCCATATAAAGCGTCTGGATGAAGATCTTAACAACTTTGTAGAAGATCTCAAGCAAGGTGCATTGCCTGCTTTTGACACCTTCAAACTCCAAATTGAGCTCTTTTTCTTAAAAACTTATATTTGAAAGGATAGAACTATCCGTGGTACAGATATATTCTTCTAATTTCATAATGATTAATTTTTTTAATTATAGTTAAACACCAATTTGATATCACCCATGGTTGTAATAATCGCTTAGAATTGACCTTGTTCGTCATCATTCAACTCTGTATTATTGCAGAAGGGAAATTGCCAGCAGATGAGCCAGCAGTTCTTCCTCCATTACCTTTCATCCTCAAAACTGAAAAGCGGAAACATATGTATGGAACGCCCCAATTAAAAAGACCTGAAAATAGGGAGAGGGATTGGGACCGCGAGCGTGACAGGGATTTAGAGCTTATGCCACCTCCTGGAGGTCTTAAAAGGGATTTCTCTTCCCCAGTTGATATCGATCAACCCATTGATCCAAATGAACCCACATACTGTGTCTGCCATCAGGTTTTCGTTCTGGTCTTTTTTACAACTTCACAACTTATTCTCTTTTCTATTACGTCACACATCAAAACTTATAATCCCTCTACCCAGAAATGTTTTTCCCATGTTGGTTTACGGGGTTGACTGAAGGTATTTTCAAATCAATTAATATGATTACAAGTAAAATTTCAAAAATAAAATTTATATATTTAAAATATACACAAAAATTCTACAAAACAAGAGGTGACATGACTATAGTATATTATGAAATGAGTAGTGAAAATAAGCAAAAAAGCTGAATAAAGTTTGACCGTGTAAATAGTGAATGGTAAGAACATTTCCAGACGGAGGGAGTAACTTCTACATCTCATTTTCAAACAACAACAACAAACAACAACCAACCCAGTAGAATCCCACAAAGTGGGATGTGGGGGTGGGTGTACGCACACCTATGAAATGTAAAGACTAAAATCTCATTCTGAAAGAAAACAAACTTGTAGCGTGAGTTCACTTCTGATGCATGGTTGATATTTCAGGTATCATTTGGTGATATGATTGCTTGCGATAATGAAAATGTAAGCATTGTCTCAGTGAAGATTTTACCTTTACTTTCTACAGCCTACAGGCATCGACCATGCGCGTATATATTGATGAATACTGGAATGAATATGTAATTAATACTGCTATGTGATTGTCTCATATTATTCACCTACCCTTTGGTTGTTGGCAGTGCCAAGGAGGCGAATGGTTCCACTATGCGTGTGTCGGGCTCACACCTGAGACCAGATTTAAAGGCAAGTGGTATTGCCCAACCTGCAAACAGTAACCACACTGATCAGACATGTCAATGCACTTGTTGGCACAATGGTCTAATGTATTCGACAGGAGCACCATGGAAGGGATTATTTTCAGTTATGCCATTCCTCATGTGAGTTGACGCCAAGTTACTTGTGATAAGGCTTAGTTGTCAGTTCCATGCAACTCTTCTTGTGTATTTATGCCTGGTCTAATCTTGAAGGAAAAAGAATTCATGGATTGCTCAATAAAGCTTGTTCTCTTGGTGTCTCATCTTTGTTATACTCCCTCTGTCCACCATAGATCTTCCGGTCAAACTTCACTCACTTTGTTTGCTCATTTTTACTAGTCATTTCATAAAATAATATAGTCTTGTCACCTCTAGTTTTATAAAACTTTTCATGTAGTTTTTTACTATATAAATTTTATTTTAAAATTTTACTCCTATAATCAATTAAATTGAATTAAAAATAAAGTCGGTCAAGCCTCGTAACGCGTAATGAGAAGATCTTAGGTGGACGGAGGGAGTAATTCCCAAGAGATAATGTCTTAAGATGAAACAATTGTAAAGTAGGTTGCATTTGTATATTGAGCTTGCAAGGTGAATTGGTGGCACATGCCTTTTTATGATACACAACTGTTAGTAGACTGATGTAAAACCACAAGCATAGCAAAGGATATATGAACCCTATCAAGATGCACTTGACAGACGCATGCAAAAAAAAAAGGTCAGAATTCTGTTCAAGTCTAGCTACATGTCATATTATATGGCCCATACACTTCTAGCTATAAAAAAAAAAGGATGAGCCCATCCCCGAGGGCCTTCTCAGCGGATGGTCTTTGAGAAGAGGTAAATTGGACTTAAATCGTAGATTGATGGCAAAAAGTGGAGCCCGCACCTGGTACTTTTAGAGGCTCTATGTTTAGCATTCCAGCGCAGTTGCCAGAAATCGAACTTAGGTCTTACCCCCCATACACAGTCTTACCCCCCCCCCCATACACTTCCAGCTAGGAAATCCAACCTTTCATCATTTTTATGAATGCGTCCACATACATGAGAAAATGTGACTATGCAAATGACAATTTTGTCCTTCCATGTTAATGAGTCCAAGCATTTTCAAGCAATATAGGTAAAAAAATTTTTTACATACTTTTCTCCTCTACCATATGTTTTTTTTTCTCTATTGAGGAGAGAACTTTAATTTCACCTTGGTTTTCATACTCGTTTTCTCCTCTCTCAATTTTCTTAACCAAACAAAGGAAAATGTCTGAAACTGTGTTTTCTCTTCCCCTCTTTTCTCTCTCCATTTTCTCTCCGACCGAACAAGGGCTATTACGAAAGAAATGTGGTTACCTAATGTATTTGCCAACAATTAAAGCTAAGTGGCTCGATGAAAACAGCCAACATGTCATTATTCAATAAGACAATGCAAGGCTACACATTGGAGATTTCGGGGTCGTTGAGTCTATAAAAAGATTAACCCCCCACCCACCCAAAAAAAAAGGAAAAAAAACTTTATTAGATGTAAAATATGTTGTTACAAACTCATTAAAGAGTTTGGGTTGTCAACTTTGAGTCAAGTGTTCTTCAACTAACAGTATGTCATGAAGGATGTACTGAAACACAAGTATGAAAATCATTTTAAAGATACTCAAGGAGAGACAAACTACAAAGGAAAAGTTGTTACCCGAAGATGTGAAAGTCTGTGTTTATTTGGTGGATGCAGCTACGTGTCAACTATAAGAGTGTAGTGTCCCAAGATACGGTTCTAAGAAGTGAAAGTTGTAAAAAATTACTTGTGAGTGGCGCGGTTTTCTAGTAACAACGGTCTTATTTTTTTAAACTATTAGAGACTTTTAAATTATTTTGTAAAGATTACGACGATACTTTTAAACACCAATGCCTAATATTCTCACGAATAATATATCAAAATAAAGAAAGGCTATGTAATTCCTATTTTGTCCTTATTTACTTAGCATATTTGTCTTATTCAATTACCACCATCTCCTTTTCAACTAGTTATTATTCTCTCATTTTGTAATTGAAATAAAACAAACAAAACCTTGTCTTCTAATTCCTTTTTATTTGCTTTTTTATAAGAGTATCGATTGCGGTTTATTTTATATTCTCATCTAAGAGAATTTTAATAAACGATATTAATGAATTAGAAAATGCGGAATGCACATGATATTACAAATTCTAGCAGGTCCCGGGCTGCAACCCGAAGAGGTTTCATTTACGACGCTTCAATAGTTCAATTCCTCCATCGCCGCGCCGCCAAGATTGCTTGAATGGGATCATCGAGGGTTTTTCAAGCTTCGCCCCTGATTTTTGGTTGCCCATCTTCGACCGTTCCAAATATTGATCTGATCTCATATGAATGCTTGGATCCTGAGATAGCCTTCTGAATCAAACAAACAGAATATATCTTTATCTAGCGAATTTTGTAGTAAAGCACTAAGAGCAAAGAAAATGGGGCTGACGCCCCCGGTGTTAATCTCCGTTTGAGGCCATTTGGACGTAAAACACCGCCCCCCTGGCGGCGTTATGGGGCGTGAGCCCCAACGCGTCAAACGTTTAACGCNAGCCGTTAAAAAAAATTAAATTAAAAAAAAACCTATAAATTCCCTCAAAACAAACCTATCTATCAAACATCTCTCAGTATCTTCTCTCTATAATTCTGTCAGATATTCCTTCAAATATTTGATTATTTATTATAAATATTTATAAAATATATTTTAAAAATGGGATCATCTTCATCCGATGATGAAAAAATCTCTCATTTTCTATTGTTTCGCCACGAGTTGTTATCAATGGTGGCAACAAGGCGAAAAAGAAAGAATTTGAATCCTCCCGACGCCGAACCCGGACCCGACGACAACGTTTAAACTGAATCAAGCGACTGCCCACGCTTCACTTCTCAACGACTACTTTAATACTCCGTGTGTTTATACACTAGAGGATTTTAGTAATCGTTTTTGGATGAGTCATCCTCTCTTTTTACGCATACTCGCCGATGTTGAACGCGAGGTGCCTTGGTACACCGAACGATTTGATACGAGAGGCCGTCGCGGGTTTAGTAGTGTCTAGAAGTGCATTGCCGCGCTTCGTCAGATGGCGTGCGGGACGACATCTGATATGTTCAACGAATACTTGAAGATGTCGGCTCGGAGCATTAGGTCCTGTGTTTATAAATTTTCTAAAGTTATTATTCGAATTTATCATAAAAGATATTTACGCAAGCCTACAGTGAGCGACATTCAACAGTTACAGGCAAGGCATGCCGCTAAACACGGCTTTGTCGGCATGTTTGGGAGCATTGATTGCACGCATTGGGAATGGAAAAATTGTCCCACTGCGTGGCATGGTCAATTCTCCCGGGGGATCATCCCAAGCCTACTATCATGCTCGAAGCTGTTGCTTCAAATGACTTGTGGTTTTGGCACGCTTTTTTCGGTGTCGCAGACTCAAACAGCGACATCAACATTCTCGATCAATCGCCTTTTTTGATGATTGGATTAATGAGACTGTACCCGACTAACATTATTTTCAAAGTTTGCCACCGATTAATTAATGTGCAAAGATAGTATAAATCTTTTGGATGGCTTGAAAAAAATTCCACCCTTTAACCACAACTCTGAGCCATATCACATAATGTAAGATTAAGAGAATGACAATCACAAAGAATGTAAAATGCTCTAGGATTAACATCCAAAAATCTTTTTTGATCTCTTTGGTATTTTCTTTTTTCACGTTTGCTCCATTATCATAAACTTGACCACGAATATCGTCAATTTCAAAACCAAGAAACTTTGACTCCTCATTTTTTTCTTAACCCAGCAAGAGATTTTTTAAACCATTTTTTCTCATTTTGTCTTTAATTCAAACAGTGCATTATTTTCTTCCCTTTTTCTTCATTTTTTTAAATATTCATTTTCTTCTCATTTTGTCTCATAAACCAAACAAAGCCCAAGAGAAATAACTCCTCCATTTTTACATGTCAAGGTTGCCTACTTTTTCATCCACGATCCGAACGATTTAGGATTTTATTGGGTGTGGTTTATACACCTAGCATATATAGAGACCAACCCTGCTTCTGTGCTACCCATCAGCTTTCGAATTTCATCCCGTGTTTCTTGATCTTTCGCTTATCACGAAACCAGCAAAACGATCCGGTAACCAGAGAAGAAAATTCTCTAGTTTTTATTATCCATTATTTTAAATTAGCTCTTCTAGAGTGTTATTTCACATCATCTTTTTTATTTTCTCAGATTTTTTTGAGCCAGAACGTAGTGCGCTGAAGATCTGGTTTGATCAACGGAATCGATTTGCGCATCAGATGTTCTGATTTTCATTAGGTTGCTCTCGATCTTTGGGCTTTTGCTGTTTCTGAGGTACGATCTGCCTTTCTTGGATTTTTAAAAATTTTCTCTAGGCTTTCTTGGAAATGAATTGTAAAAAATGGGGAGTTGTTTGTCATTTGATTATAGACTCGGATGCTTTCAGTTAGATATCCTTTTTTTACTCTTAATTGGTTTGAATTTTCATGAAGTTGATTTGCTAACCTGGATTTCTTAAGTTTATTAAATTTGCATATCTTAAACTACTACTTTTATTGTTTATCCAGTTTTTAATAGTTGAAATATCCCTTTTGCGTGAATATAATATATCTCTAAAGATCTGTCCAATGTTCAAGTTTTATTTTTAATGGTCATTTACTTGGGGAAAAATGAGTTTTGAAGCAATTGATCCAATATGGAGGATTGGTGTCTCTGTTATTGTTTTTGAATGCACACTTTTAGGTATATCTGGAGACATGCAGTTTGCTTTCTAACTATTGGATTTAAGTGTTTAAATTATGCCTTTTTTGATACTTTTGAATAATTGGGCTGTATTATCTCTCTCGTCTTGTGATGTTTCTATATTTCTATTCTTGTTAGTTTTGATAGAAAAGAATCTGACGGAGAGGCTAGGGACTGGAGTGGAATGTGATTTGCATGGGTGACGATGCCAGAGTTGCGTAGTGGAGCAAGGAGATCAAAAAGGCTAGGTGATCTCCAGCCTGCCCCCCAAGCCGCAACCGGACAAGAGGAGAATTTGGTATTACCTGCACCAACTAGAACTAGAAGGAGAGGCGGCGGTGGTGGAAGGGGAAGAGGTAATGCAACAGCTGTAGCAAAAGGGCCTTCAACAGGAGTTCGTGGGAGGCCAGCTACTGCTGCTGGTAGAGGCAGGGGGGCAAGGTTGATAGATTTAGACCCCGAGCCACATTGTGAGGCACCTGAAGCTGTTGCAGTTGGGGTCCAACCTGCTATCAATAGAATTGAAGACGTCCCAAATAAAGATATTGCAATGGAAGGTGGCAGCGCAGATAAAATAGTGGGAGTTGAAGAAGAAGGAAATACAACTCCTGTTCCTGAGAGGGTATGCTTCCATTCTTTTCTTACTCCGTTACTCATATTCCTCTGTTGGTAAATAGGGCTATGATGGTATTTAAATATTTGTATGAAGATGGCTATTGCTTATTATTTATTACCTGGCCTAGCTCAGCTATCACTTTGCCCCCTTACTCATATGCTTATCTCTGTGTACTCTTCTGAATATTTTAGTAATATGATATATACCTATTTTTTCAAGTCTTGTGAAATGTTTTCCTTCACATATAAAGAGTTTTTATGATTCTTTTATGACTGGGTGAAGGTGCAAGTTGGCAATTCTCCTCAATACAAGACAGAAAGGAAGTTGGGTAAGGGTGGGTTTGGCCAAGTTTATGTTGGTAGGAAAATAAGTGGTGGTACGGAAAGAACAGGACCAGATGCAGTTGAGGTACATATCTCACTCCCTTAGTGTTGTTTGCGAGACTCTGGAAAATATAATTTCTGGAAAGAGTCTGAAAAACATAATTTCTGGAATAGATGACAGTGCATTTCTTTTCTTAGGTTGCGTTGAAGTTTGAACACCGAAATAGCAAGGGTTGCAACTATGGCCCTCCGTATGAGTGGCAGGTGTACAAGTAAGCATCTTTGTTTCAGAGTATAAAGTTCTAAAGTTTGGTAGAGTTATTCTCTTGATGCAAAAAAGCCTAATTTATGATTGCATGATGATTGAATTCTCATTGAAAGCACTCTGAATGGATGCTATGGAATTCCATGGGTTCACTACAAGGGCCGCCAGGGTGATTTTTATATTTTGGTTAGTATCACTATTTATAGTTGTTTTAGGCTCCTTATTTTGTTTTTGCTGACAATGCTGAAATTTTACTTCAGGTAATGGACATGCTTGGACCAAGTCTTTGGGATGTTTGGAATTCTTTAGGGCAATCGTAAGATAATTCTTACTCTCATTTCCCTTCTCATGCATGGTATCTTACATATAGACAATGAGTAATACATTATTCTATGATGTATTGCATATTTACTTATAGCTTTAATGATTAGCACATGCAACAGGATGTCACCTAATATGGTTGCCTGCATTGCTGTTGAGGCAATATCAATTCTTGAAAAGCTTCACTTAAAGGGGTAAGACTTTGTTGTTCTCTGTTCTTACTATGCCCCTGTTGTCTGAAGTCTTCTTGAATAATTTTTCAAACTTTAACCTTTCATTCTCTTTCCACAATCAAAGATGTTATTCATTTTCTTGAGGGGTTTTATGTGATCATTTGGTATTGATTTCTGATAAACAATGCTTAGGTTCGTGCACGGAGATGTGAAACCCGAAAACTTTTTACTAGGTCAGCCTGGAACAGCTGAAGAGAAGAAGCTGTATCTTATTGATCTTGGATTGGGTAGGATGTCTCTCCTTTGCTCATCTTTATTTTTATTATTATTATACACAAGATATATTATTTATAACATAAGCATGATTGTTTGCATACTATTACAGGTAAGGAGGTTATGGGTTTTCATTCATAATTGAATCACACCTTTGACAAGTACAATATCCTTAAGTCCTTACCTGTAATGACACTTTTCTGATACATAAATTTTTCAGCTTCGAGGTGGAAAGATTCAGCATCTGGTCAGCATGTAGAATATGATCAGAGGCCTGATATATTCAGGTTTGCGAAATTGGCTATGTTGATAAAATAATCGTGCATGAATATATACTTATATGTTACTTCTTCAACAGGGGGACAATAAGATATGCAAGTGTGCATGCACATTTAGGTCGGACGGGAAGTAGAAGGGATGACCTTGAGTCACTGGCGTACACATTAATTTTTCTCATTAAGGGAAGGTTACCATGGCAAGGTTATCAGGTTAGTTAATATTCTTTTCAATAAATTGTTATCGAATTGCGTTGAAAATTGACATATGAATATCAATAAATTTATTGGGATTCCTCTTTTCATGAATTCAGGGGGATAACAAGAGTTTCCTTGTCTGCAAAAAGAAGATGGCTACCTCTCCAGAGTTGATGTGCTGTTTTTGTCCAGCACCATTCAAACAGTTTCTTGAAGCTGTAACAAATATGAAGTTCGATGAAGAACCAAATTATGCAAAGCTTATATCTTTCTTTGACAGTCTAATTGAACCATGCACATCCCTTAGGCCAATAAGAATTGATGGAGCTCTTAAGGTTCATATATATAGTTGATTTTTTTCAAGCATCTGGCTGTAGATATTTGCTCCCTAAAGTCTGTGTCTTCTGGATCAGGTTGGGCAGAAGCGTGGCAGGCTGCTCATAAACTTGGAGGAAGAGGAACAACCAAGGAAGAAAGTACGGCTAGGCAGTCCTGCAAACCAGTGGATTTCAGTGTACAATGCACGCCGCCCCATGAAGCAGAGGTGAACTCTATATGTTATAAACAAGTCATTGTTGTGCTTGCTTATATGGAATGACCTTCATAGTAAATAAATAATCCCATCTATCATGGTAGCGTATTTTGATATTTTATAATGTGCCACTAATGAGTCTTGGATAGTTATTCCTTTTTTTTCCACACATAAACAGTAATATTTAAAAGAGGTTTTACTCTTAGATGTATATACCTTCTTTTTAAGTAGAATAAGAACCAAATATAAACAATATGCATGCCTTGAATCAATATTGTTACAATTTTTTTTAAAAATTTATTTAGATTTAGCATATACATCTATGCCGTGAAAGATTGGTCTGACCTAACCAAGGGACGTCTTTCCCTCCAAAAACAAAAGTAGAAGGTTGCCTATGTTATCTCCTGACACACCCCTTTTGCTCCACGCCTCCACCCCAAGGTTGTTAAACTGGAGTTCCTAGCTAGGATCGTTGGGGGCTCAGAGGATCGTAGATCGTGAATCGTAACTCAAGTAGTAAGATCCTAGAGTATTAGTAATATTTAAAATTTACGACCATAATTAATAAAATATAAAAAGTGATAAATCATACTAATAAGTCCTACAATTCTACGTCTCACCTGCCGATCCCCACCAATCCTAGTATTTTCCAATGGAGTAAGCGGTCCAAATTGCAGGGGTGAACTGTACTAGTACAATGATACAATTTTTGCGATCCAGATCCTAATTCTTATAACCCTGTACACCCCACCACCATCCATAGAAAGTTGTGGGATGTTTAATTTGCAAACCCTTTTCTATCTGACTTGTTGCATGTTTTTCCATGTTTGCAAGCATATTAGGGTGTAGGGAGCTGGGCCCTTGCACAGATTCTTTAGGGTCTTTTAGGCTGAGCTTTTTTTGGTAGTTGTTTTGCTCTCTAAGCGCTATTTTGAGTATAATACCCTTGTGTTTGGGAGAGTATTTTGATCATGTTCAAAATGCTAACATAAAAATCTACATTCTACAAACCATAGCTTCTTGATATGAGTGTTTATTCATTTTCTAGCAATACTGCTCTTTAAAACTCATTTGTCTATCAGTTTGCGCTGATGAGCGATGACATTCAATTTTTTTTAAATTTCAGAATAATCATTATTTTATCAAACAGCTAGCTGGGATTCAGCTGATGCTGATGATAATTACAGATCAGTAAATCACTACCAAACATGATCTGACCTTTGTTTTGACGCAACACTTTCATGTTTTCAAAATAGTTTTTTCAAACAACATATCCTGGTTTCTAATTTCTTATCACTTACCCCCTTAAAGAAGATTGTTAAGCATGTTCCTTAGAAATGAAAATATTGTAGCTAATATTTGTAACATAGTAGAGCAGTACAAAATTGTGATCTTTAGTTTGTAATTAGTGCCCAGTTGTTTAATCTCTTAGAAATCTTATATAGTATTATGACCTTTAGTTGGTAGAAAATGTTTGGGTGTGTATCATTGTTTGACAATATGTTCAGCAGCTAAATAGGGCAAAACGTGACTATTAAGACCTCCCTTTAGCATACTGATATTTTGTGGATGGGAAGTAATTTATATCCTTGGAAAGGATGTGTAGCATGTATTTAGCTTGACGGCATATTATTTCTTCAATGCATATTCCAAGTTATTAAATGGTGTTTGTATGCTGTTACATTTGGGTTGTGCCTTCTTTGTACTTTACTACTCAAAACCAATTTTCTCAGGTCATAAGATATTGTGTTTTTTTGGATGTGTAGATACCACTACAATGTTGCAGACACTAGGCTGAGTCAGCATGTAGAAAAGGGAAATGAAGATGGGTTATTTATTAGCTGTGTGGCTTCTGCAGCAAACCTTTGGGCCCTAATAATGGATGCTGGAACAGGTTTCACTTCCCAAGTTTATGATCTTTCAGCGGTTTTCCTTCATAAGGTGATTCATCTGCTTTTTCTTCTGTCATCCCATCCCTCCTCTCAAGTTTATTTGCATATTTCCATAATTTTAAATTGGGTTCGTGAATCTACACACCCAGCTCATCACATTATGGGTTCTTCTCAGGATTGGATAATGGAACAGTGGGAAAAAAACTATTATATTAGCTCAATAGCGGGTGCAAATAATGGAAGTTCATTGGTAGTTATGTCAAAAGGTTGGATATTAAAACTTGTTTTGTCTTTTTCTAATCCATTTATTTATTTATAGTGCTAAGTGCTATGTGGAATTGTGTTAGGAACTCCTTACACTCAGCAATCTTACAAGGTTAGTGAATCTTTTCCGTTCAAATGGATAAACAAGAAATGGAAAGAAGGGTTTCATGTAACATCCATGACTACTGCTGGGAGTCGTTGGGGTGTTGTGATGTCCAGGAATGCTGGCTTTTCTGAACAGGTCAGCTGAAGTGCTGTTGTTTATCATCTGTTTTCAAAAAGTAATTTTTGTTAATAATTCTTCTTTTTTTCAGTTTCTTTAATAATAACGACAACAATAATATGTAACAGGTCGTTGAGCTTGACTTTCTGTACCCAAGTGAGGGAATTCATAGACGGTGGGAGAGTGGGTACAGAATAACATCTATGGCTGCCACTGGCGATCAAGCAGCTCTCATATTGAGTATCCCGAGACGCAAAGTGATGGATGAAACTCAGGAGACCCTCCGCACTTCTGCTTTTCCAAGTACACACGTTAAGGTCAGAATATCTATCTCTTTATCGAAGAGTGTATTTTTTTTTTTCACCTCAACGTCTGCAACTAAAACAAATAAAAAAAATAAATGAAACTTGCAGGAAAAGTGGTCAAAAAATCTCTACATTGCCTCTATATGCTATGGAAGAACCGTGTGCTGAACGGTCGGTCGCCCAACGGAAAAAGTTTCTTTTGAAGGCAGGAATGAATTCCTGCATGTGTTAGTTAGTGGTGGGGTTGCAAATTTCCATCCCTTGTGATGTATTAATGGTAAAACTGTAGAGGTTATTCAGTCAGAAGGGTGCTTTCTTTACCTGAATGGGATTGCCATCAGTTGCCATAGACACAAAAAACTGATTGGTCTTGGCTGCATCCATTAGTGGCCAAGATTGTATAAGCTTTCCATGTACTCTCCCTTTCGTTTTTTGTGTAAAAATACATAATTGAATCTCTCTTTTTTCTTTTCTTGACAACATTCTAATCTTTTAGTATTTCACGTGGGTGAAATTATCCAAAGTAGCCGTTCTTTTTTCTACCCCTCAATCTTATTCCTTTTTTCCCTACAATTTTCCATTTAGGAGGTAAAATTTTACATTTTAAAAAATCAAGTTGTTTAAAAATTGGTATAAGAATAATAAAATATATTAAAAATTACATCAAAAGTTTTACAAAATCGAGCTTACAACATTATTTTATGAAGTAATCAATGAAATTAAACAACAAATGCCTCTTATCAATAGGTAGGTTTTAAAAAAATTGTACTCCGTAATTAATTTCGGGAGGGAGTATGGGTGAAGGGAAGTTCTTGAGTCTTGACTAAACCAAAGTTCTTGACTACACCCATTTTTCAAGCGACCACAGTTATGGTGAAAAACATATTACCTCCGTCCCAGAGTATTTGTCCACTTTCATTTTTACACACCATCCAATACACTTCTTTAATCCATTTTATCTTGTAATTTGTATATTAAAAAATTATAGAAATTATATATTAATAATCTATATGTTAAGACAAATCAAACAAGATCACACATGACTATATTTAGGCTTACACATTGTGAGAATTTGATGAGTCAAAGTGCTTAGATGAACAGTTCCAAAAGTCAAAACTGGACGAATACTCCGGGACGGAGGGAGTAACATGTTTGAAATGTACCAACAGTTGTACCATAACACTTACTCCGTATCTTTTAACCAAATATTATTTTTATTTATTTTGAGGTTAAAGTTTATTAATTTTGATTGAAAAAATCAAAAGTGGACAAATAATTTGAGATGGAGGGAATAATTTAGAGCGAGGGATTAAAAGGAGAACTTGTTTAAATGACGTGTAAAAAGAATAAGCCAATAAGGTTCTGAGAACCTTATTCTTATACTACCTCCGTCCCAAAAACATTTACACGTTTTGACTAAAGTTGAAATTAAGGGAGGGATAATTTTATGTTGACTTTCCAAAAATACCCTTGATGTGATGGGTAAAAGTAGGATATGATGTGTAGATTATTAGGAAAAAAGTATGATGTGATAGGTATGGTTTGAAAAAGTAAGGGGTAAAAGTGGTTTTTTAATAGAAATGGGTAGGAGATTGTGAGACACAATTTTTTTAAAAGGTGTAAATCTTTTTGGGACGGAGGGAGTATGACACAAGCAATTTGAAGCTAAAAGACCTTATGACACTAGCAAATACTTCACTCGTCTCCTTATGAGTGAAGTAGCCCGAATAAGTTCTTTTTCGTATAAATTACTGGCTTTGGTTCTTAAATATTTGTTCGTTTTTGATTTTTTTGTTAAAATTGTAAAATTATGACAATAAATTAAATAAAAGTGATATTAGATATTGGTACAAAAAGAAATTTATTAGATTTATTTTAAAAAATAATTCCCAAATATTATTTTATTTAATTAATATACCATATATATTCTTGGGAAAAAAACTAAAGTGGGAGTAAAATATTGAAAATATACCAAAATAGGAGTTCCATGTTTTTATTACCGAAATAAGAGTTAAAATGAATTTATAGTGCGAACCATGACCATATAAGTTACCAAAAAGTACTATGTAATGTCATGTACATCGTCACATTACTACAATGTGAACTTCTATTTTGGGGAAAAAAATATAGAACTTCTATTTTTGTACTTTTTCAAAGTTTTACTCGTATTTAGGGTGATTTCTTTATATTCAATATTATTATAGGTCCATAGTTGAAAACAAATGACTGCAAAAAGTCAAAACTAGACAAATACTCAAACAGAAGTAGTACAGTAGAAGTTCATATACGGCATTTAAAAACATGCAACTGAGTTCATGTATTAAATTGATGCAATTTGATTCTTGTAAAATAAGCGTGAGGATCAAATTGAATAAAAATGAACAATAAAAGATTTTGAGTACATCCTATGATATTTTGTCTCACCTCTTTTTCTCCAAGCTCCTTCATTGCCAAATCCATCACAAATAAAATGGAACGGGGGAGTAGTTACTATATTCAGTTAATTTCCCCAAAGGTTCATTTGGTACACGGAATTGGAATTGAATTAAAAGTTGAAATTCTATAAAATTGATTTGGGTGGAAATGAATTCTCTAATTTCAGTTTATTTTTTGCCCTACCACTCCCAAATTCACATATTTTTGTATTATCAAACACTAGAATTGGAATTGTTGTTCTCAATTCCAATTTCATAGTTTAAATTTCGTATACCAAACGAAGCCTAAGGATATGAAATAAACAATGAGAATTAAACAGGCAACTAGGGTAATAAATAAACAAGATTGTCTTTATAATTAATCTAATGACTAGTTGTTAGTATGATGTGTTAAATAGTTGTTTTTTCTAGCCAACTAATTAACTAATCCATGGAATTTAATTAGCGACATGTTTATGAGTTTGAGAATTATAATATGTCAATCATCTACTTACACATTATTTAATCCAAGTTGAATACTGTATACGAATAATGGAAACTAAACTATGTGCTTGTCAGTTTAATTTAAAATAAATTAGCGGTTAATTATTATCGTAAAATAAGACTTGAAGTATAAAAGGAATCAAACAATTGCTCGTTCTTTTATTCTGAATTCAAAAGCAATCTTTTCTTAGCCTAGTTTAATTCTACCTTTGCCTATTTTACTTTGATAATTCTCTTTTAAATCAATGGACTTAGGAGAATGTATATCGTAATCTGGCTATATGTAGGTTAGGGACATCTAATCAATATTCATTATGAATCAACAGAATATTCTTTTTGAATCAACAGAATGTTCATTTTTAACCGCAACGTTTAATTTCAAGTTTACTCCGTATAATGTTCATTCTAAAACAACGTATTGTTCAATCTAAAAAGTATTTATTCTAAAACAACATTATGTTCAATCTAAAAAGTATTTATTCTAAAACAACATTATGTTCAATCTGAAACGATGTTTCAAAATGAACCAAAAGGAATGTACGGAGTACTTGGTTAGGTTCCAACGCCTAGCTATTAGTTTGTGCACCAACGTAAGTTATAAGCTGTTATCCAACCATCATTTTAGGGATACCATCATACTCGGGGATTAGTCTATTTTACTACGATGCCGGATTTTGGTTAACAATCCTAATAAAAAAAGGTTTTGTCAAAGGGCATTACTGTCGTGACTTCCACACTCTGACAGTGAGAGCCATATTTTTCGTATTGAAACACAAAAAACTCATTAACTCACTATACTTGTAATCATAACATACATGATGGGATGATATGGATGACTTCATTTCAGGTCAAATGCTCTGCTTCTAAAATACGAGTAATAGGAACTTAAGCCTAAATCTGAACCTGAATTTGAATTTTGAAATTCCTCTGTAGATTAAATTTCAATAATCTTCAAATATCACATATGGCATCAAACACCAGAGAGCATCAGAACACTTTCATGATGGAAGATGCTACGACATTATTAGGTTTCTCTATAAGGAAGAGTAATGATGATGCTAAGATCTACGAATTATCAAAAAGAAAAAAAAAGAAAAAAAAAAGAGGGCTAATCATACCAAACTGCACATAATTGTCACCATGGAGAAGCAGTAAGCCCCTGGAACTCTAAGCCAAGCTTCACAATCTTCAATTTCAGAGCCTCGAGTTCGGCCTCCAGACGTCCAATCACTGCTTTAGCATTCACAGCCGTCGCCTCAAGATTTCTGATCTCCTCATCAACTTGAGTCATGTGCATTTTCTTTGACTGAATAACTGCTTGGGATTCAAGTGAAAGGCTGACTAGCTTATTCAGCCTATCAAGTATAAACCCAACCGGCATGCCCAGATCCTCGAAAGCCTTCAAAGTCTTCCCCCAACATTCCAAATGGTGAAGAGACGTGGCAAGGTTGGCGGCTTTCGTGGCGTCAGCAATGTTGACAGTTTCAGAAATCATTACAGCAGCTAGTTTACTGCTGATGCCCTTGATAAGACTTTCGTGAAGGTACATTTTTTGACTGACGCATAGCTCGTAATACTTTATTCTGAGATCTAATGGTATCTCTGAGTCAAGAATTACGCCATCCACTTGAATCGTGAAATCTTCGAAACCATTTACATCTTTGAAATAGGCAACAGATTCTGAGCATCTGATGATGCCTTCATGAACATCTGGGACAAAAATATCACTATCACCCACAAATTGAGATTGATCCATCACAGGCCTACTATCACTTACTAATCTTGCCTTCTTTTTCTCCTGCGGATTGTCCACAGCAGAAGAGCTCAAATATTCTGCTCTCGCTGTTGCATTAATCTGCACATTGCCTTCTATTTGGTCTTCAATTTTCACTGGTGCAACATTTCATTTGTTTTTAGAAGAATGGTTAAATAATTTCAATGAAAAATGAGAGTTGAACTGTCATACCAGTATTAATTGGCTGACTATTTTGGAAACTAAAATTTTGAAGACCACTAGCACCATCATCCTCTGATGCTTTGCTTGCTCTCTGAATGTATACCTTAAGAGAATCAAATACATCTGTCAAAGAATGTGGCAGGGGGGAATAAAAGCCCTTGCAAGTCAAATGTTCAGACAAAAATTTAAAGTTTGGAAAGCAAGAAATGACAAGGACTATAAATTTTCAGAGGCACGTTCAGATTGGTATGATTTCCAACAGTGCGGTTATCAATTATTAGGCAAAAAATTTGTCCAATATATTAAATTTAAAATATGTGCATTTACTTCCAGGACAAAATTGCAACCGAAAAATCACAAAAGCAACCACCCCATCCAGTAGAGAATCTAAAGTTTGTTATGCATCCAAAACCCGTTGCAACTTGCCAGAGTTGGCAATAGTCCAACTATTCAAATTACCTGTAAATATGATTAATATTTACATCCAAAACCCGTTACAAGGGTTGTCCATAGTCCAACTATTCCCATTACCTGTAAATATAATTAATATATACCTAAAGCTGTACTTCAATCAACAAATAGTATGGAACTGAACTCTAAAAGAAGATTTCCACTTCCAGGCAATCAATTGCCTCTTACCTTTCCATCATCAACAGAAAAAAATAAATAAAAAAACCCAGTATAATCCCGACTCCATTGAGGTCAAGATGCACCCAACCTTACCCCTGTAAAAAAGAGAGAGGCTGTTCTTGTTAGGCATTTGATTCTTTGCTGCATTTATTGCCTAAAGCTTCATAGAAAGTACTTCCTCTATCCCAAAGAGATGTTCCCATATTGACCTTTAAGAAATGGATTAAGCTATTTGTACCCCAAAGGCATGCACCGACATTTTGTGCTAGTGTGATGCTAGTGTGATGGTTTACATTGACAAAAAATGTCAGTGCAAATTTTTTTAAGTGAACTAACATTTTGTGCCAGTGTGAACCGTTTCAATGTCGGTGCATTTCTTTGGAGTACACTTTTTGGTGTACTCCTAGCATGGTTGTTAAAAAATTTAAGGGAGAGATATTTTTGTGTTGACGTTTCAAAGATACCCTTGATGTGATGGGTAAAAATAGGATGTGATGTGAAGATTATTAGTAAAAAGGTAAGGTGTGATAGGTCGGTTTAGAATTAATAGGGGTAAAAGTGGTTTTTTAATAGAAATGAGAAGGATTTTGTGGGACAAGTAAAAAAAAGAAAGGGGAAGGAGTTTTCGAGACGGAGGGAGTAATAAGCAAGGGAAGTTTAACGAACAATTTTAATATAGTTCATTATTTGTCCAAAGCTAACAGATTGTCAAGAATGACTATTTTAGGACCATTGGCAATGGAAACACAGATACTCATTGATTTGAGGCTCAAATAGTTACCTTAAACTTGCAAGGCTCAATAAGGTGGAAAACCAAAGCATCACTCTCTCGCAATTTGTGTGCCATGCAGAAGCCTTTCCAACCACTACCAAACCTATTTCTTCGTGCTGAATACCTCATACTGTATTCTAGTTCATCTTCATCCACCAAAATAATTGTACCATCATTGCTTGGTAAATGCTCATCACAGAATTTCTTTGGTAAATTCTGTTATAAAAGAGCAATTCTCCAGGATTCGATCCATAAATCATATTACGTATAATTCAGTTATTCACACAGTAGCGGTAAGAATTCCAAACATACCAAACAGAATTTTCCAGTCAGATGAGATTTGAGTAACTGTTTGAAAAAATTAGGGCATTGGTGTGATGAATTTTCTCGAACACCATGTGTTTGCTGCAAGCTCAAGGAATTGACAGCAATGCCATGAGGATCACTAGTTGTGTTCACCTTAGCTTCACTACTGCAATATTGTATACGACTGGTATAAGAAAACCCTGGTTGTTAACATAAAGCACCCTCTTCACAGTTCACATGCAAGAAACAATTTGTATTACCATTCACCGCCACTATACATTTCCAAACTTTGCCTGCTTAGGCATTAAGATTTTGTCGTTTTATCCTCACATCAACAACAAAAAGATAGAACTGGTCCTAATATAACTTGGTGCTGGGCCATCATTTAGAATGCTATAGATGAATTTGCTTTCTACTTTTGTTGCAAAAGTGGTACAGAGTATATTACTACTACTTGCGACAGAAGCAGAAAAAACCCTTCAATGCGCACTTCGCACCCTCCACTCAGTGATAATTGATAAAAAAGGGAATGATTACTGAAAACCCCTTCAACCTGCAATGTGCTTCGATATTGTCTGAATGACCGCTAAAGAGAGTTTCTCCACACACATAAAAGAGTTGATCATCCTAGAAAGCATCTTTGATGAATCACCCCAGACTGATCTCTTTACACACAAAAATTACATGTTTCCAACTTCACAGCAGGGAACACGCATTCAATCTAAGATCAAAACTCATTAGCATACAGAGTAATCTGGTAAGAAATCTAGACTCAATTGAACAGTCTAACCATCAACCAAAACTGCGAAATCATCTAATTTACTTAACGAGAAAGTGGAAGCATCTACAAATAGCAAAGTCAATATACAAAAATAAACCAAAGAGTAAGATCAGATAGTGAAATTGTACTACTATGACAGTATGGACTCCGCGCGTAAAGATTTTGCAGTATTTGTAAAGAATGGAAAATAGACCTAAGGGGAAATACTGGAATCAGCTGCATTCCTTAGCAATTGAGAGCTTCTTCTGATCTTCTCCCTTTTCTCAGCAAACACGTCAACAGCCCTTATTTTAGAATATACGGGGTAAGAAAAACAAATAGATTGACCCGGTTTAGGGATGGAAATGGGGGGAATTGGGGATTGCGGGTGGGGACTGAATGACGGGTACCCGCGGGAATGGCGATTCGGCCCGTCCAAATAACCCAAGATACTCCGTATATCTATAGATTTTATATTTCATTTTTAAAAATTGTAAAATTAAAAATAAATTTGAATATGCGTTAAAGTCGCTATGCTATACTGCACAATCAATATACAAAACACTAGTGTTAATCCCGTGCTTCGCACAAGCTCATATATATTCTAAATTTTTGAGATTCTATAAATATAATTTTAATTGTTTTAGTTTTCTAATAGTGACAAAATATTTTTTAAACTGGTGGAATATATATTTGTATCCTATATATATATATATATATATATATATATATATAGATATATGGATTGACTCCAGTGAGATGACACCTTACGGTGAGATGACATGCTTCGGTCAGATGACACAAAGCTCACCACTGGTCACTGCAAAGCTCACCAAAGACAACTATAAAGCTCACCAAAGTGTAAGGCAAAGCTCACCATATTTTTTCAACACTTTGAATTTTTTTTCCAAAAAAAAATCAAAGGAAAGGGTGCTGACTGGACTTTGATTGCATTGACCGCCGCCTGCCACCGGCCGCCGCCGCCGGTCGCCGGAATCCGGTCACCGCCGCCGCCGTCGGCCGGACGCCGGAAACCGGTCACCGCCGCCGCCGCCGGTCGCCGGTCGCCGGAATCCGGTCACAGCCGCCGCCGGTCGCCGGCCGCCACTGCTGCTCCGCCGCCCTTGACCAGTGGTTGACCGGTGTTGTTATTTTATTTTTAATTAATTTTTTAATTTTTAAAATTTAAAAAAAAAGTGAGTTTTGGGGTTCAAAGTGGTGAGCTTTGCTTTATTTCCAGGTGAGCTTTGCATTGTCCATTGGTGAGCTTTGTAGTGTAGTGTGGTGAGTTTTGCTTTATTAGCTTTTTTTTTTTAAAAAAAAGTGGTG